TCCAGCCCTTCACAGCCCCGGGAGCCCTAAAACTCCAGTGTCCAGCCCTTCAGAGCACCGGGAGCCCCAAAATTCCGGTGTCCAGCCCTTCACAGCCCCAAAACTCCAGTGTCCAGCCCTTCACAGACCCAGGAACCCTAAAACTCCAGCGTCCAGCCCTTCGGAGTGCCAGGAACCCCAAAACTCCGGCGTCCAGCCCTTGACAGACCCAGAAGTCCCAAAGTTCCAGCGTCCAGCCCTTCACAGCCCCAAAACTCCGGTGTTCAGCTCTTCCTAGCCCAGGAGCCCTAAAGAACCGGCATCCAACCCTTCACAGCCCCAAAACTCCGGTGTCCAGCCCTTCACAGTCCCAGGAACCCTAAATCACCAGTGTCCAGCCCTTCACAGCCCCGGGAGCCCTAAAGAACCGGCGTCCAGCCCTTCACAGCCCCTGGAACCCTAAATCAGCAGCGTCCAGCCCTTCACAGCCCCAAAGAACCAGCATCCAGCCCTTCACAGCCTCAAAACTCCAGTGTCCAGCCCTTCACAGCCCCAGGAACCCCCCATCACCGGCTTCCAGCCCTTCACAGCCCCAGGAGCCCTAAAACTCCAGTGTCCAGCCCTTCACAACCCTAAAGAACCAGCATCCAGCCCTTCATAGCCCCAAAACTCGTGCGTCCAGCTCCTCCTAACCTGGGAGTCCCAAAACTCCGGCGTCCAGCCCTTCACAGCCCCAAAACTCAGCTGTCCACCCCCTCCCCCGTCCCCATGAGCCCCTCCAACCCCGCAGCCGCCCCGGCGGCGGCCGCCCCGAATCCCGCGGGCCCCTTCGACATGTGGCGGGACTACCTGGGGCTGGCGGCGCTGGTGGCCGCGCTGCCGCGGGACCCCCCCGGGGGGGACGGGGGGGACCGGGACAGAAATCCCCCTTCCCCCGGCCCCCCGTGCGCCTTCTGCCGGCACAACGGCGAGGCTCCGGCGGTGTTCCAGGGGCACAGCCTGCGGGACGCGGCGGGGCGGCTGCAGTGCCCGGTGCTGCGCAGCTACGTGTGCCCGCAGTGCGGGGCCACCCAGGACCGGGCGCACACGCGGCGCTTCTGCCCCCTCACCCGCCGCGGTTACACCTCGGTGTACGACAGACCCGCGGCCGCCGCCAGGAATAGAGCCGGGGATGGAGCCGGGAATAGCGCCGGGAGCAACAGGAATGGCACGGAGGGCACCGGGAGCGGCACCGGGAGCGGCACCGGGAGCGGCACCGGGGGCAAGTGGGCGGCGAGGGACGGCGGGAAGTAGCCGAGGGACGGATGGAGGGACATGCAGGTACCGGGGTGTGGGTGGGGTGTTGTGGCACATCCAGGGGTGGGGATTCCCGTGAGGAATGTCCTCAATCCAGGGGTGGGATTCCCATCAGGAATGTCCTCAGGGAATCAGAAGGGACACTGGGAAGCAGCCGAGGGACAGAGGATCCCGTGGGAAGCAGCCAAGGGACAGAGGATCCCGTGGGAAGCAGAGGATCCCGTGTCCCCCCCACGGGTACCAGGGGAGTGTTGTGGTGTCCCAGTGGATGTGGCTCATCCAGGGGTGGGATTCCCACGAGGAATGTCCTCAGGGAATCGGGAAGTAGCCGAGGGACGGATGGAGGGCCCCATGTCCACACGCAGGTACCGGGATGTGGGGTGGTGGAGGGGGGGGGGTGTTGTGGTGTCCCGGGGGATGTGGCACCGTCCCAGGGGGGTGGGATTCCCGTCGGGAATGTCCTCAGGGAATCGGGAAGCAGCCGAGGGACAGAGGATCCCGTGGGAATCATCCAAGGGACAGAGGATCCCGTGTCCCCCCACATGGGTACCAGGGGGTTTGTGGTGTCCCAGTGATGCCACGGGGGATGTGGCACATCCAGGGGTGGGATTCCCATCAGGAATCTCCCCAGGGAGCCACAGGGGACACTGGGAAGCAGTTTGTGGTGTCCCAGTGATGCCATGGTGGACGTGGCACATCCAGGGGTGGGATTCCCTGGGAATGAGGAATCTCCTCATGGAATCGGCCTCACTTGGGGGGGACGACTGGTGCTGTCTGGGGCTCCCTCTCTCCCTCTCCCACTTCACTTCCCTCTCTCTCCCACTTCACTTCCCTCCCTCTCCCACTTCTCTCCCCTCCCTCCCTCTTTCACTTCCCTCCTCCCACTTCCCTCCCTCTCCCTCTTCCCTCCCTCTCCCACTTCCCTTCCCTCCCTCTCCCACTTTTCATCCCTCCCTCCCTCTCCCACTTCCCTCCCTCTCCCTCTTCCTTCCCTCTCCCACTTCTCTTCTCTCCCTCTCCCCCTTCTTTTCCCTCTCTCTTCTCTTCACTCTCCCACTTCCCTTCCCTCCCTCTCCCACTTCCTTCCCTCTCCCACTTCCCTCCCTCTCCCACTTCCCTCCCTCTCCCTCTTCGCTCCCTCTCCCACTTCTCTTCCCTCCCTCTCCCACTTTTCTCTTCCAGGGCATCACTCCAAGGATGAGACCCCGACCCGGTGCTTCCCAGTGCTCCCAGTGCCTGGAATATTCCAGACACTGGAATATCCCGGGAAAGGCCCCGTTTGGCCGGATCTGGGCGCTGCCGACGGCTTCAGTCCCGAGTTTTGGGTTGGTTTGATGAGTTTTGGTCAATCCCAGCCCAGGAAGGGCTCAGGGCTCCAGGAAGTGGAGAATTTGGGTTGGTTTGTTGAGTTTTGGTCAATCCCAGCCCAGGAAGGGCTCAGGGCTCCAAATATGGAGCCATTACCTGATAATTTGGGTTGGTTTGTTGAGTTTTGGTTAATCCCAGCCCAGGAAGGGCTCAGGGCTCCAGGAACTGGAAAATTTGGGTTGTTTTGTTGGGTTTTGGTTAATCCCAGATGGTTTGGGTTGGTTTGTTGAGTTTTAGTTAATCCCAGCCCAGGAAAGGGCTCAGTGCTCCAGGTGTGGAGCTGTCACTGGATAATTTGGGTTGGTTTGTTGGGTTTTGGTTAATCCTCAGGTTCTGCCATTCCCAAGAGTTTTTTGGGGTGGATTCCTCAGGTTCTGCCATTCCCAAGAGTTTTTGAGGTGGATTTCTGCCATTCCCAAGAGTTTTT